ATTATATAAATGCGAACGAGATTGAACTATGAACATAATGATTTTTCGAGCCGAATGTGTTCTTAAAATGAATTTGCTCCTTTCAATAGTGTTTTAAAGAGTCAGCAAATGTCTTCCAAGATATGACGGATTTCATCTCTTACAAACGTGGCATAACGATTAGTAAGAGTTCTAATGAACTCAATTTTATGTTTTATACTCGAAATACATAAGCGGAATGTAGAGAGAAGGGAAATTTAAAGCTAGAATTATTGAATTTGAATATATTAATTTTTTTGGCAGAAAGATAGGCTTTTTATAAATTGTTTGTGACCATTCGAACAACATAAAATCCTCTTCAAGAATAGTGGTGACTGTTCGGATACTTTTTTAAATGAACAAAGGTGTTTGTCCAAATCGAAAAAATCGACATTTTTTATAATCGATCACAGACGTCGTTTATAGTCGATCATAGGTGTCGATTATAGAAAACATATGTGTGTTATACAAACAAACATTAGTTACACCTACAAAAATTCAACAGAAACAACCAACGGTTCGAATTTTAGACTGTTAAAAATAATTTCATCAAGTATCCAAAGAATTTGATTAATTGCAATTTAGCCTAAAAATAAAAATTCAAATAATTTTTTTTCAATAAGTTATATGCAAGACAGAGTGTTACGCATTGAGAATGCTCATCCCCCATTCAGCACGACAAGGTCGTCAACAACTAGATGTGTGGCCCATTTCATCAAAGTCTACTAATGATGTGATCATATGCATGTGCTTTCTAGCATCCTATCCATAAGTGTACACGTCTGCCAATTGTTTAGGCTTGTCGGCTTAAGAATGAGAAGAAGGTTGCCTTGAGATGTGGAACCTCGATATCTAAATTTATGATTTGTGAAAGTTGGTAACACAGCATGATCGTTCAAATGTGCATTGTTGGTTGTGGAAGATCAATGGCATGCATTCTCGTGGAAAAGGATTTTGGACCACAAATGTATTGGTAAGGAATCGAAACTAATGAAGAAAGCTTTGGGTATAATGGATGTGAATGGCATGCGTTGCGTGAATGTGTCTATGTGCTTTGTCAAGTTTGTTTCGTGGAGCGCACGTTGCAGAGCACAATGATGGAGATTGTGTATTTGCTTCGACATGTGTTGTGGTGCTAAGGTTGACAGCTGTCCACCCGAAGAACTAATGTTTATGGGGGCATATGATGAAAATTGGTAGCAGATGAGGTATATGCGGAGTTAATATGGGTAGATGTGCGAGGTAGAATTATATGGATACTCGTCTATGAGGAGATGGTGCTGCTCTTATTCTTGCAATGATAGAAATGGACGTTGATGCGAAGTTCACTTCTCGCTACGAAGACATAAGTGAATTCAAATAGGGAAGAATCTCAAGCATCGAGAATGCTCCTCTTTTCATTCAGCATGACAAGGTAACCAATAGCTAAGCTTGTGGCCTATTTTACCAAAGAGTTCACTAATGATGTGATCATATACATGTATTGTCTAACATCCTACCCATAAGCTTGTGTCTGTAAGTTGTCAAGGTTGTAAGCCTACTAATGAGAAGAAGCCTGCCTTGAGGCATGAAACCTCAAAAGCCAAACTTGCAGTTGGTGAAATAAGGACCCACACTCGCAGCCAGAATTAAATCGACTCGGACAACGACAACGCATGCATGTATGTTCGATCTAATGGTATCTAGGTCCTCTCACTTTCCACAAAATTGGGGGGCCCTTTAGGGCTCAAACCCAAAGGCCAAAATTGCACCATATAAACCATTCATTTTCCCAACAATTCCATCAAATTCTTTACTTTTTCTAAGTTTCAAGTGGGTGACTTTGAATTCAAATATTTTATTCCCATTCTAAATGATATTAGACAAATAAATATATCATTTTATTATTCATCTTTCGGTGTAGAATATGAATATGTTTGATTCTGTTAATTTTAGAGTATGGGTCTGACAATTTGCAGTTCTTTTGATGAACTAGTACCTAATTTGTTATGTATTGCGCTTAATATGAAAAACTCATGATTTGATGAAGAACTGAAGAAAAATGGTGAAAATGAGCTCAATTGTAAGAGATCCAAAGTGCGAGAATTAAAGTGAAAATACCCAAAAGTTGTGACAAGCCTTACGATGAAGTTTTGAGAGTGTTAAGTGTCAATTTGACAAGAAAAGAAGTTAAAGAAATGAAATATAGTCAAAATATTATCAAACATCCATTTTCAACCTCAAATTGAGACCCTTTTTGGCATAGTAAACATTCATATTGGAAAAAATGATACTTCTAGAGGAATTATAGCCTTTTAAGAACTTTTCAATGCATTTTTAATCACCTCAATCAGATACTTGGGAGAGAATATTATGACAAAAAAACTGAAATCTGCCCCATCAGAGAGACCAAGGCATGTGCATTAACCAAAAAAGTGCCCCCAAACAATTCAATGCAATTTTTTTGACATCTTTTAAATATCAAAACTCAACCAGAACATGGGGAACCTCCATTGGACCTAATTCTACACATATTCTACATATTTTTTTTAAGACGAAGAACAAGTATAGACATCAAATCAAGGCAAATCATACAAGGAATTGGAGATTATAGTCTGATTTCAAGATTCAAAACAAGAACGTGGATCTTTCCTCTTTCTTTTTTCCAGGTGATTTTTTCCAATTTTTTCTTGTGTAATTTAACTACAAGAATGTCGGGCTAAATTTTTCATTTGTATTGAATGGACGATGAACCTTATTATTTGTTAAATTCAATTCATAACTCGTTAATTTAATAATTTTTTTGGGTTTTTGATTATTTATGCATTCATATTGTATTATTTAATTGCTTAACTATCAATTGGATAACTTGTTGCCTATTTGTAGTGTTGGGAGGATTATAATAGGTAGAACATTGCATATTTAACATACGGACAATAAGTATTACGCATAATAGTTATGGCGTATGCAATCTTGTGGGATAAATCCCGTGAATTAATGCATGTTTTTTATATAAATTTGGATTAGGAATATGACTGGCGTGTTAAACATATGTTTAGCCCCTATTTGAGCCACAATAAAATTTTCATTCTCATTCTTCTACTCATTTTTAACAACACATTCTTTAATAAAATAATATTTTACATCACATCAGTAACTTTTTTTTTTCAATCACACATTCTCCATCAATCTACTATTCCAAAATAATGTGGCTCATATATTTTGAAAAAGAATATTGAATAAAATCGGATCATCGATTGTCATAAACATTAGAAAATAATACTACTTTTTAGAGGTCAAGAATTGGAAATAACACTAATAAGGAGATTTAGAAATTCAATACATTCATCACATATTTGATAAAACAAATTTATTGCTTTTGTAGTTTAAAATTAGTATAAACAAAAAATCATCTCTTTTGTGTTACAACATTTGTCGAATTTGATAATAACTAGTAAACCATAATTAGATATTATTTCTTTGTGACGATACTTTTAACTCACTACATTATTACTCGTTAACGATCCTGTACGCTTGCGAGATTTTACCGAACATCTCACTTAATTTTGAGCTCAAAGTTGCCCAAAATTAAATTAAAACAATTTCCAACATAGGTGGAGGAGAATATAAAGTGATGTGGATTGTATGGATCTTGAAAACTACACAAGAACGTGGAACCTGACTCAACTTCATTTGAGAGCCGTTCGCAGTCGGCAGCATACTGGACTTGTGAAATTGATTTAGACTAAAACTCGTGCAAGTATATCACAAGACGTGTTACATCCTGTCACATAAGATTGGAACGGGTTAAGTTCTTTTGTTCTATTTGTTGAAAATTAGGCTTAGCACCCTTCTAAATTCATACTTTTATTATTTGTTTCTAATAAAATATGCCATTACGCATGGTTTTAATTAAAAAAAAGTGTCAACTCATTATCGAAAAAAGTTAGATAATTTTGAAAGTTGGTTAATGATATCTTCTGTAATTTTTCGCAAAACTTCGTTTACACTAACATAAAATATTTGCTCTTGGATTAAACGAATAACTTAGATGTTTGTGAACTGTAATTACATTCTATTTTGAAAATATTTATTCTATAAATTAAGGAGAAGTCGTAAGTAAATTTTTATTATGCAGTACTCAATAAGGTTAGATAATATAATAAACAAGATTTTTTTTACACCGAACTACTTTACCAATTCAAACATAAGTGTTTATCTTATAACTATTGTAAGTTAATCTTTAATTATTAAGAAACAAAATTATTAATGCCTTTACCAAACATCTTTTGTGTTATGACTTTAATTTTTCTAGTTTTATTTCATTTTAATTATATTTTCTTCATCTCTCCCAACCAAACAAGCCCTTAAATCTTATGAAGGTAATTGTAAACAAGTTCACAACTTTATTAATTAACCATGTTTGTATTTTAAACCCCTTGAGCGTGACTTGAGATTCATAGAATGATTTGAATCAAAGAAAGCAATTTCTCTCTTTCGAATGGAAGAAGGCACATAGCACCTAAGCACCTTGGCTAACCTTAAAAGTAAATTTTTGTTTGCAAGAATGTTTAGAGATATTACTGCTTATTTATAAGTAAAAAAAATACTTATTTCATTAACAATATGATGCTCCCTTTCAATTTGAACAACATTCCTATGTTCTTGAAGTTAATTTATTCGCTTGTACATATAAGTACCACTAATTTGTAAACTTTCTGAGCGTTGTATAATCCTTATTTTCACATAGAAGTTCAATGCACGTCAAACTTGTTCAATTGTAAATGACACTAGTGTGTCCTATGAGAATATATTGAAACAGTGCCGGGGCTAGCGTCTATTAAGAAGGGGTAGCCAGCTTATTTCGTTTCTAGATCCATTAACAAATGTATGTACAAGGACACAGATGTTGACTCTATAGTCGAGCAAATATGCATAGCAAAGGAATGAGAAGACTAACCTCTATAATATCCAGTGACACTTGCTTAGAAGTCATCCTCTAGTTATCTTTTCCTCCTCTGGAAACTGGGCTTCCTCGGCTGGCTTGCTGTTGGACCTTGATCGATAGTATTACCGGGCCCATACGGTATAAGAGGCTTCTTCAAGGATGCACCCATATCAGCACACACACTGCTTGAGATTGTAGGTGAAACTGTTTTCCTTTTAAGCTGCCTTGGGACTTCCAGCCTTTCAAGAATTCTTGAAGTTTTTTCATCGACTTGTCTTTTGTTGTGCAATGGTGATTCATCCAGCTTTGGCTTGGAGATACAAGTGGGAGAATTCATGTTGACGACATCAGTTATAACAAGTTGTTCCCACTCCTCTGTAATGCATGCACTCATTTTATCGTCTAAATGTTTAATATCTAATTGCAATATTGGTTGGACCTTAGCCGAGGACTCTTGTAGGGTCAAATCTGACTCTGAGGTTGCTTCTTTTGTTTTAGGAGGTATTGCCCTAAAATAACAAAACATATCATGGCAATAACAAAATTTTGTCAAGTAGGTAATGAAAAATCAGATGCTAAAAACCACATTTATTTCAATCACAGATCTGATGAGATGATTACCCAAATTGTAGGCTCTCTTTTACAAGTAAGTTTAGTTTTTGATGGAATCCTCTTTCGTGCTGGACTGGATTGTACTCACTCACTTCGATCTGGAACAATAGTTAACATTGCATTATCAAACCAAGGTTGCACAACAGAGACTCTCTCTAAAAAAATCAACTAAATTTTTGTCTTCGGCCAGTTGGGCACGCGTTAGCATGCACTCAGATAACCAATCATTCATTTGTTCGAAAGAAGATCAGATCAATTCAGTTGTCTTTATCCAGTTAAGTGTGTGTCTCTCTTTCTTTTGAACACCAGGGAAAATATTCATTAATTGAGATCCACAAAATGCACGCGATATTGAAATAGAATACAATCAATCCGGTTCCTTTTCTCCTCTCTACTCAAATTAGAAAATTAGTGACTTTTTTTTCTTTGATGTTTAACAATTTCAATCCAGAATGTGTGAAATCATTTATGGATCACGAAATTTAACCTTGCCCGTGGATTCACCTCCCGAGAATAAATCTAATTCATATGTTCAATTCCTCCTCAACAGCTTAATTTATAGATATCACTTCAGAGATAGAAATCTAGATGCTCAAATGAAAAGAAACATATTAAAATAACTATGAAAGAAGAAATATTATAATGGAAAAAATCCAACCTTTAGCAAAGAAGCTTGAACTGTGTCTTCAATCTCTTTAGCTAGCGTAGAGCTAAGGAATTGACTCACATCAGGGGTGGGTAAAACTTCCTCTGATCCTGCAAGGCGCTGCAAATTCCAAAATATGTGGAGATTTTTATCGGGAAAAATGATAAAAAATATATACACACACACACAGAGTGGACAGAGGCATACGTATTATTTCTTTTCTTTTGGACTAAATAAAACTCGAGACATTCTTAGGAAAAGATGGACATTAAATTTAGTATAACTGTAGAGGAGATGAAAAAATTACCCTGAGAAGCATCACCCCTTTGTCCGAAGGTAACAGTATGTAGTAGCACTTAAATGAAGTCTCAATTGCAGTTCCAATATTGCAACTAGAAGAGCAAACCAACCCCTGATCAAGGGAGTTTAGAACACTGCAGACCAATTGAAAAACTGCCGAGCCACAGAGCAAAAGAGAGGTGAAATCAATGAACTCAAGAAGAAACATTCACATACTAGATTATTGAAAATGACGAGATCTGTAAAACTGATGCAAAAGCAGAATTAAAATTCTTGAAACAAGAAGAAAATTGAAAAATCGAGAATTTATACAAAATTTTGATTTTGACGAATTGGTCCTTGAAAAAGTTGACACGGTCTTTGTTTATATAGGCAAAGTAATTCCATAATCCTATTGACTAAAGCAATTAAAATCCTAAATGAGGTAAAAGAAATATCATATTTTAACAAGAAAGAAATCATGTTCTAAATAAGAAACAAAATCCTACTACAACAATATTTGTAATAAGATTTTCCTACATCATTTTCCACACTTGAAAAAACTCAACCTCGAGTTTGTAGTCGGAGGAGAAAATAAATCAAGGGAAAAATACTCAAAAATTTCTACAAGAACTAATATTGATGATGTAAGAATTGATTCCTTGAGCTGAATTTTCGGATACCTCAGCCAATGCTAAAATCTGTTGCTGCAGGAGCTGTTTTTAGTGGTTTGCAACTGATTTTCAGGTGGAATCTTCAACCAACTGGAGCCTTGTTAGTTGGTGGTTAATAACTGATTTCTTGACCCCTTTTTTGTCTATAAATAGGAGCTATAGGTAGTGCAATAGATGAGCTCGAAAATGAAAGAAAAAAGAGAGCTTGAGAGTGGTAAAACTCTGTAGAATTCTGGGATAGAACTCTGTAATTCAAGTTAGAGGAAAAGGTAGATTTTTTCTTGTAGTAGGAAGTGTAGATTGTGAGAGTGAGAAGTCTCTGGAAACTCAATTTGGAAATTCTTTCTACTGATTCATGTAATTGAATGTAATCTTTTGTCAATAAAGATTGAGGAAGAAGAACTCTTCCTGTTCCAATATCTGTGCTTCACTTTTCTTGCTGGTTCATTTCTTCTTCTGCTGGTTTTTCATTTTTCTGTTTTTCTGTAACTTTGCATTAATTCTGGATTGATCTTGAGCTGTGGGGAAGACCAAATCCCCAACAGACGAAATGTTCATCTCTTAATGTGCTCAATAAACGTCGTTATATTACTTAGTTGCATTGGTTGAAGTCAACATTGCTCCTACCTTAGTCATTTAATCTTCCACTGGGACACTTGCGTGATATTCCTACATACACGATATACGGTTCAATTTCTCACTCGTGAGTCCACTCTAGATAGAGGCCACTAGTGCTACTTTCAATTCTAAATGATTTTCATCTATTGCTTTAATGTTCACTGATGCCTTCTTCAATACCAAAAAACTAGCACAGGAACTTAGATCCATATCATCCACACTTACATCTATATCATCCATATTTCCCTCGTGCTTATGCAATTCATTGGCTTTAGGATCGCAGAGATGGTCAACGAAACGTTTATTCTCAATTTGACAAGTCTCACCTTTAATTCTTTCGTGATTAGGAGTTCAATCCCATTTTTTCAAGGGGACACTTTTGAACTTCAACTTATTTATTATCAAAGTGCGGCTCTTGGGTCTTCAATTGCAACTTCATGAGAATGATTTTCATCCTCTTTTGGTTGCAACTGCTTATAGTCCGATGGAAGCTCGCTATTATCTGAGTCTCCATGGTTGTTACCGTGACCCGTCGAAGTTGGTTGTTGTCTCCGAGGTTCACACTTGCGTCTACTTCAATGACAAGTGTAGCTAAGGTTTGTTAAACATCTTGAACAGTTTATTCAAGCGTGATAGTCAGTGCTAGATTTTTTGAATCTCTATTCGTTGTCGACGGCTCGGACTCCACTAATATCGTCCTTAGTCATAAAAAATCCTTGCTTTTACACCAATTTTGGTGTAAAAGAAAAATTAAAATTATTGAAACAAGAAGAAAGATGAAAAGCTCGAAAACTATTAGAGAATAGTTTAATTGTAATGAATTGGTCCTTGAAAAAGAGTAAAAAGCCTTTGTTTATAGGTAAATCAATTCCTTAATTCTAATGACTAAACCAAGAAAAATCCTAAAAGGAGTAAAAGAAAAATCTTATTCTAACAATAAAGAAAATATCTTATTATAAACAAGAAATAAAATCCTACTACAACAATAAATAATTCATATTCTATTTGTAATAGGGTTGTCCAGCAAAAAGAATATGATAGTTCAGAGAACCATGAAGATTAAGAGAAAATTTCACGTACGTTGAGTATTGTGCTCTGACTTGTCATTATCATGTGAATCATTACAAGTTGGAGTAACAACATAGGTAGAACCCATGATTAAACCTGTCCAAAACATGCAAAATTAGAGCGCTAACTATGAGACTAGAAAAATATATTTAATAGCTCTCACTTGTAGCTCAACGAAATAATTTAGTGAATTAACAAAATGACCATTTGGACTGCTTAGAAAAGGAATTGATATGCAATTGCATACTCTTCACCAACATAATTATATTTTAAATTGCTCATGCGTCCTTTTTGTATGGAGAACGCCCATTCATTTTGAGTAAAGACACGAGCTTAAAAGAAGATAAGTTCCTTCAACTCCATGAAAAGGATCAGTCAGAGTCACAGAAGATAGAGAATGTATTGCCTTCTAATTCTGCTTCTATCATGGAACCTTTATATGTGGGACGTGTCGCATTACACCGTCATGCAAGAGCATGTCACCAACACTACTCTATTTACCAATTCATACTCTGGACATTTTCCAAATTAAAAATGAATGCATCTTTCTTAAAGATTGCATACAAAAGTTCAAATATAAGATACACAAATCAGGACAATATCAAATTTCACAAATCATACTAGTAGCCTTGAGGACCAAGGATATGGATCCAGCTGATCAACAAGAAAATATCAGAAAAAATTGAAAGGTAGTTTCGAATTCTTTATACTTTGGGGGAATTAACATCCTTCAGCTTCTAAGTTTTTCAATGAGAAACAAAAATGGGATTCTTTTGAGATTTACCTTCGCTTAATAATCGTAAGTTAGTTCTCTGAATGACATTGAAGTCAACAGGTGAAGAAATTTGCTGGAGCTTCTGAATGCACTGGAAAGACGGCATATACAGGATTGTTTGTTCTCCAATCTTGACAGAGTTCTCGATTAAATCTAAAGCTCCAAGTTCATTGCTTGTTACTGGACAACAAGACCTCCTGGTCTTACTCTCATTTGACTTGTCCAGTGGAATGCCATGACACCTGCATGTCTGCATGCAGAAAAGCCACATGTGAAGAGCAGCATGTCAGGCAAAGATAAATTCAAATGACTTATTCACATTGCAAAGAATTTATTATACAAAACTGAGGGAATCATTAAAAGACACACGTGAAGAGGATTATCACTCTGATAGGGTTCAATTAGTTTCACAATAAACCTCTAAGAATAATCTATTTGGTCCTTTACAGCCAAATAGGTCCTGAATTTCTAAACCTAATCAACAAAAATTGCAGACTCTTTACACCTTTTACTAACTTCTAAAGAATCTATCGGTTAAGTGTCATGACTCTTGCCAATGGATATTAGTTCGAAGGCACAACTCTTATCGAAGGTGCACTAGTATCTCCTGGAGTGCTGTAATACACCTTGTCAGGTTATGTATCCAACAAACACGTTATGTTGTCTCTTTCCATACTTGTTGCATTGGCCTTCCTCTCTTGTAATCAGTCTAATGATGAGTATTACTGTCTATTGGGAAACTGTTACCATCAATGAGACATAGATAACTTGAACAATTGATTCTAGTGGTAATGGACTGACACAAAATTAATTCAACACATTGATACATGAGAACCTCGCTTCAACCAACACTGGTTGAAACCCATTTTTAAACATTAAATAAAAGGTTTTGAAATAATGTTGCACCCGTTGGTCATTATAATCACGTCTCCTGCAGCTAGTTAAGAATATAGTTTTCCTTTTACTTCAGCGTATGATAAGCTTAAGTTACAGAAAATAGATTGACCATGCAAACAATATAGACAGTAAAAGGATCACACTACTAATGCTGCCTATCAGTACTAAAGATCATTTTGGGGAGATAAAAATGTAAGATGAAAAACAACTAATTAAAGAAGTTATGCAAATATTCTCCAAGAAAAAATAATTATACAAAGCCAACAGTTGTGGATCCTTTATATCAACTTGATCCTTGAGCAAAACAACAGCTTAATGACAATTAACTAATGTGCTCATGCTACATACTTCAAAATCTTTATGGATAAAAATATGTAGAATGTACCTGGCAAGGAATGAAACCATCGATTATGGGATGGACAGATGCACATAAGTTGCAGGATATCTGGTTCAGATTGTTCATTAGATCGACCTTGAAGAGAAAACGAGCTTGTAACGATTCTTCCGTGTCTTCTTTTAACTCCTGAAGCCATCTTTTCACAAGGCCAAGAAGTGCATGTGAATCTGCAAATTCGATTTCTGTAAATACCCTAAATTAAGAATTTGGTCAGATGTCAAATTGAATAATTTTTCTTTCTTTCTTTCTTTTTTTTTTTTTCCGGAGAAATGGGATTACTGACACATACTATTTCACCTTCGATCTCTCCAAGAAACAAGACCACTGTGATCTAACTCAAGACTGATCCAAATCCAGCTAATCCATGGCTGGCCATATTTAAAACAACACCTACAAGATCTTGGGCGTCGGTTATGATGTAAAATATCTAGTTTCAGGGTCTACACTTCTTCCTCCCCTCCTCTCTTCTTCCCCAAATGTATTCACGAGAGAGATAAATATATCTTCTTCAAGCAACCCAGAATATATAATAGGTGGATGTCAGAATAGGTAGAACTACAATATAAAACTTAGCTAAACATGATTTCCTGACCCAATTATCTGTAATAACAAAGAGGAGAAGATTGCATCTCAACAATTCTTGCTCTTATGCTGCCAAGCTATGAAAGTGGAAACAACATGACCGTTGCTATTAACTGTAAAATGTGATTAACGGCAAATACTATGTATGATCAGTCATTTACGTGACAAACAACAGGGGTTTATTATCCATAAAATAGATTTTTTTAGTCATCCACAATAAATTCATAATATGGTCTCATATGATCAATGAGCTTAACCTGGAACAAACATCCGTAGCGAACAGTTCTCAAGACAACCAATCTGCTTAATAAAGTTGTTGATATTCTCAGGGGAATCACCAAGGTGGCTTGAATTTTGCTCCAAGAAAACAAACTCCACTGAGACAAACTTCTCTGCAGCTTCCTATCAAGAAGTCCACAAAAATATTGATTTCAGGTGACTGGTTCATAAGAGTTCCCACCATTGGATTGAGTTAGGCTAGTTTTCCATGCATCTGCCCTGAGCTCGGATAAAGTATTTGGTCTAGATACCAAATTGAAGATCAAATGGAATTTGTCTCACCGTGAGAGCCTTTATGGTCATAGAATCCAGAGATTTAACGACACAGGAACTAAGCAGAATAATCTTTTTTGAAATGTGTCTGTCATTTCCTCCCCATGAGTATATAACTTCGCCATTCAAAACGTCTGATAGTTTTAGGTCTGCTAACAACAACAATGTACAAATAATAATTTTCAGCGAACTACATACATAACTTGCGCATTGAATTTATTCAGAAGTGCTAAATGGAACTGGTAAGTACAAACAAACGGATATATATTACCCTTACAACAGAGAGCTCCAGACTCGTCGAATTCAGGGGAAAAGGCATCGTTAGGTATATTGTTCACTGCATGGTGAAAATCGCGCAGATTGAAATTCACAGAGGGATTGTATGCAACCTTCAGCTGTCCACAAAAAAATCCTCATCTCTAAAACTTGTAGCACCGTGCAACTCTAACCTTTTGGTTAAAAATATGAGAAGAACAGCTCATTCTCATAATTCGTGATACACTAGAATTACTAGAGCAATTCAATGTTTTGGCATGTCAAGAACATACTAAATCAAATATTTTTTAGCATTTGAACTCAATGTTGAAAAGAATATAGCAATCACCCTAGCCATAAACAAGGTACAAGCAAAGCAGTAAGAAGCACCAAATTAATATGGAATACTTTAGTGTATTCAGAACCCTCACTAGCTCACAGGGTTTAACTTTTGGCTTAAAATAAAATAGACTAAATTAGTTACACAGACACACACGGACACGGAGTTTCCAGTGAAATACAAATGACGGAGGAGAATACCTCATCGGAACACGAAATTCGATTTCTGAAAACATAGCAAAGTCCAATGCGATCGCGGAGGGCCCTCGATCGAATCCTATTGCAGTTATCATTGATCTCGGGAACCGAAATCGAGTAGTAATTCGCGAGCTGCAATAACGACTGGCAGAGTAGAATTTACGAATAAAATATACAATTCAATTAGCTGTAAAAACTTAGATTAATAACTAGTTCCTTGATTATTCAAATTAGAGTATTGGAGTTATTTACTAATTACCTGCTTCAGATCTCGAAGGAGAGGAGAAGATAGGCTTCGTAAATCGAGTAGAAAGCAAAGCATCGCCATTTTTCAGTTTCTTCTGTTCTGTTGGTGAAAATGTGAAAGGAGGCTATGGTGCCATGTTTAAAATATGAGTTTTGGCGGGTAATTTCTCGCTTTATACCGACGTTGCTACAAAAATTAATAGCCCACTCAAACCCAATAGCCCAAAAATTAATTGAAGAAATTAGACACCGAACTTTAAAAAGAAGAAAATTTTGATTAATACAATTAAATCAAATTAAAGTTTTAATAACCGTATTAATTACGTCCACTAAAAATATAAAACATTTGAAAATCAGCAAAATCATTCCGAATACATGCCGCACTTCCCATATGATATTTTTCACTTTTTAAATTTTTTATTATTAAAAAGTTTTCGTTTGATACGGTATTTTCTGTTACGATTATCTATTTTAAGCGATTTAATTTTTTTTTAGAAAACTTGCAATGTGAACATGAAAAATATGTTATGAACGAAGTTTAAATGTCAAAAATTATTTTGAATAAATTATTGAACGCAAAATAAACCGTAATTATTAACTCAATTTCTTGCGACATTTTTGACTTGTTATTATAAACTTATTGTTTATCGATTTTTAAATTCGAAAGACGTATTTCAAAGTTTGTCATGAATACTTTGAAACGAAAACAAAAACCTCACTTGACGAGCAAGTAAAATAGCCCTTAAAATAGGCCAAAACTTGTAACACCAAAACAGAAATTAAAAGAAAAATATCTAATTCGGTCACTTTTTCACTTTTCACAATCTCATTTTCGCAAAAATCTTGGATGCATCAATTGAACTAGTTCAAATAAATTTGAATTGGTTCAAACAATGTTTGAATTCGTATATTTAAATTTTAAAAAACACACGTATACATCAAGTTAAGTATTCCACTGAGATAATGCGATTTTTTCACAGAATGTCACTATTTCACATTTTTATTTTCGCAAATACCTCGGATGCATAAATTGAATTGATTCAAAAAAAATATGAATTGAATGCAAGATTAAAATAATGTTTGAATTCGTATATTTTAATTTAAAAAAATATACATGTATGCATTTAGTTAATTGTTTCAATAAGATACTGTAACTTTTTCATAGAAAAGTGTATCACTTTTTACACTCATTTTCGCAACACATTGGATGTATCAATTGAATTAATTCAAATAAATATGAATTGAATGTAAAATTAAAACAAGATTTCAATAGTATATTTAAATTTTCAAAAACACGCGTGTATTCATCTAGTTAATTGTTTCAATGAGATGAATGTCACTTTTTCACATTTTCCTTTTCACAAACACCTTACATACATCTATTGAATTGATTCAAAGTTAATTTTTATATGTATTAATATAAAATAAGGTTTGAATTCATATATGAAATTTCCAAAAATGCACACATATACATCTAGTTATTGCTCCAATGAGATATTGCCACTTTTTTTTTAAAAAAAAAGAAAAAAGTGACAGAATGCGATTTTTCATAGAAAAGTAACAAAATGCCATTTTTTCACATTCTCCTTTTCGCAACCACTTTGCTTGCATCAACATAAAACAATGTTTGAATTCGTTTATTTAAATTTCCAAAAATACAAACATATGTATCTAATTAATTGCTCAAATAAGATATTTTGAATTTTTTAGAAAAAAAGTGACGGAATGTCACTTTTTTACATTCTTTTCACGACCAACTTTTATGTATCTATTGAATTGATTCAAATTTATTTTTTCATATGTATTAATATAAAACAAGGTTTGGATTTGTTTATTTAAATTTTGAAAAATGCACACATATGTATCTCATCAATTGCTCCAGTGAAATACTTTGACTTTTTTCAAGAAAAGTGATGGAATATTATTTTTTCACATTCTAATTTTGAGCAAACACCTTATATGCATCAATTTAATTAATTCAAAGCTAAATTTTCATGTGTATACATAAAACAAGGTTTGATTTTGAATGTTCAAATTTCTAAAAATATATACATATGCATCTAGTTAATTGCTGCGATAAAAAGTGACAGAACATCATTTTTTCATAGAAAGGTAATAGACTGTCATTTTTTTCACATTCTCCTTTTTCAAACACCTTACATGCAAAATTTTAATAGATTCAAAGCTAACTTTTCATATGTGTTAACACAATCAATTTTCTCTCAAGTTCAACCATGTTATTTTCAAACATGCTTCCAATCACACTGAAATACCCGTCGTGCTTTAGATGTTAATTTTAAACACCTTTGATTTTTTTAGATTGAGGGCTGATTTTTACAAACAGTGTGCCTATTAGATTGAACATATTGAATAAAAAATCAAACAAACTGTAAATCTCAACATACTGAACATAAAAACCTAAACAACATCAAAATCAACCAAAATAAGAACACAGTGAATCAAAAATCAGAAATAATATAAACCTGGAGATTTGGATTGAATATTTATAGAATTGGAAACTTTAAAGAAGATGTAGTTGAAACAACTCTTAATCTTGTCTGGTCCTAGATTTTGCTTGATTTGGAACTTGGAGAAGTTGGAATTTTGGAATTGCTTGAATTGATTCTTCATTTTGAAATTACTGTAATCTCTATAGTTTATTGGTTTAAATTNAATTGATTCTTCATTTTGAAATTACTGTAATCTCTATAGTTTATTGGTTTAAATTTACAGTTTTTGCTTTTTAATACATGTTTATCATGATTTTTCAAAATGACCATAAAAAAAAAGTGTGTGTAAGTTCCCCAAATTAATTTTGGCTAAATATGTTCACATCACTGTTTTTGCCTGACAACCATTAATAGTCATTTTTTGGGGAAAAATAAATTTTGAAGTAGTGATTTTTTGAAAAATGTGCGGTTAAAAAGTTGAAAAAAAATTGAATTTACGTGCAAAATATTTTATCATAAAATTATGGTTGAAAATGAGAGACGAAAAAGAATTTTGTTTAAATGGTTTCAAAGAGGGGCTTAATAATTAAACTACATTTTAATTATATGAAAGATTTATAATCTTTATATATTACCACATTTATATCTCAATCTTTTTCACCGTATTCTTATTCTCAAATTAACATAAATTATTCCTAGTTATGACTTCTCTCCAAAATTTTCTTTAAAATATAGTAAAAATACTCATTTGTCTATTATATTTTTAAATAAAAAATAATATGCAAAAATGAGATCAAATATTTAACCCTCATTTTAAAATACATTAACAAATTATTTTGAAAGAA